GTGATCATTTTGTCAGCATCTTGATCATTTGCCTCAAGAATCAACTGCTGAAATATTAATGCAATGTTGCTATGAAGCTTTTGTGTGGCTTTTTAGCCAATGGTGATTTATAATGGGAAACAAATATTGGAAGTAAGAAAAATCAATTTACATTGACCATTTGCCAATACGATTGTCTTCTACCTGAGTGTAGATGCCTGAGCCAATACTATAGAAAGACATGATTTGATGTTTACTCCTGAGTGGTACAACATCTTCTCACAGTTTGAAGTGTGCAGAACTCCCACACTGATACAGCTTACCAAGTACGGTAAGAAGCTTAGCTAAGAAGGTAACTTTAAGGTGAGATTTGTAGCTAAGTTTTAGGTTTAAATGAGAGAGTAGAACTTGCTCTTTTGTAATGATTATATTGATGTTTAAGTAAGCAGCTGTTAGCTTTTGGATTAGGCTTATGATACAGGAAAGAGGTCGAGGTAAATTAAGTTTACCAGATCATATATTTGCTAGAAATAAACATGCAGAGGGCTTAATTTTTTGATTGCCTGGGGGTTGTAAACACTGTCTTGGAGATTTTGTTTCAAAGAAAGTTTGTTACACTGTGAAAGGAGTGAAAATGAAAGAGAGATGTGTTTACAAATGTTAACTTTTTCTGTTTTGTAAATAGATTGTTTCATCTAAACTTATTAAATTTGTGGCCGATATATCATTATATGTTACTTATATTTATTATCATTTTTTGAGCCGATATATTGCTTTATGTTACCTATAAGTTTATTATTAAATTTGTAGCTGAGTGAAACTGGAGGTTTGGTATGATATCTGCGATGTCTGCATCTGCCTAGTTTAAAACCAACATTGAATGGTTAGTTTACAAAGTACATTTTCCCCTCACTGATTTCCAAGAACACTGAAGATGTTTATCTCAAAACTTTTCAGTTATTGCAGTTTCATGCTGTCCTATTTCCAAAACAAGGTACATGTACCATTGTTTTATTTTTATTCAAACAGAAAAATTGCTGTATGAAAATAGGGTTCCTCCATGTGTAGGCATTTAATTTGAAAGAATCCCATGTATTTTTAGTTACCAAAACCTGACTGTGTATAATACTTGTAAGCTGAGAATGGGTAACTTTAGTTCAAAGTATATTTTTGTGAATAAGAAAAAAAATGCTATGCACCTAAGTCACCTATTCAAAATTGGCTTGTTAAATGAAAAGTAGGTCTATTTTGTGTGACTTGCTGAAACAAATTTTGTAATTATAGCTTACCTGGATAGCCTTAAAAATAGTATTTTCAGGATATTAGCTGTACAAAAAGACGACTATTAAATGGTTTTGGTGACATGAAATGATTCCGAATAATTAATACTTGGATACAGTGATTTGGATTTCAAGCTAACATCGGACTTGAAGGGAAAAGTCTACAAAATTCAATCCATAGCTGTTATGATGGAGTTTTTTAGTCCAACAATTCACCTTAAACTTTTGTGATTTTGGTTTCAGAGGTCCCTCAGGTTGGTATAAATAAGTACAATGTTGAAAATGATAATGCATTTTTTATTTAACCTTCTTTATAATGCTTAAAGTTATGCTTTTTACTTCTCTTCCCCCTTTTTTTTCTGTAATTGAAAGAAGTAAGTGGTCCCCTCAAGCTGCATTGATGTATGCACTGGTAAAACATGGCAGACAGTGCTTTCAGGTTACTTTGTATTAAAAATGCATTGAAAACACTCCGGAGACTGTCGCTGTGATTGAGCATGTGTGTTAAGACAGGTTAAATAGACATCCTGTATTCCTAACAAAGAGTCGTTTTTCAAATGTATTAATAAAGCTGTTAGGTGTGTTTTTTTCCTTACATAAATGGCATGTTAAAGGAAAGAGCTGTAATAAAGGACAGAATTAAAATCGATGCTGTCATTTGCAGATACATTGATAGAGATGTGAGTTTTACTCTGGTAAAATATCAGTTTAGGAATAAAAAATTGGAAGAACTGTGGGATGTTCTCTTCCAATGACTGTGAAGTGGATTAGAAAAATATTGACTGAATATCTTGTTTCCTTTTTTCATCCACTAAGGTAATTGAAAAAATATTGATAGATATATTTGATGGGATTTTGGATGGTTGCTGATAAAGTTACCATCATTTTTGATGACATCAAATAACTGAAAACGAGCAATTTAAGCAGCTGGGTTTTCTTCTGTTTTCTGTAAGAAATGACTACAGACATGTATGTTTGTCTCATTTTATCAACCAAATTCAAATATGATAAGAACTATAATGTTTAAGAGTTGTTTCTTCTCAATTTCAGAAGAAACCAGTCCCACCCCCACTTCCAAAGCCAGTGGAAAAACATAAGCCTGTAGAAAATCCAAAAAGAGTCTGCGTGAAGAAAGAGAAACGGCCAGTGGAGAGGGAGAGACAGAAAAGAGAAATGGAGCCTCCAGAACCCGTGAAAGCAGCAGAGCCTGAACCCCCACCACCCCCACCACCACCTGAACCAGTGGAGGAGAGGTAAGATGCAGTGTAATTAGGGTCGCAGCCAAGGGGAGTTTGGGGGGTTCGAAAAAACTGTCCTTTTTGCTGGGAAAAGGTCTGCTCTGGGTAAAACTTGATCTAGGTACACAAGGTCTTTTGGTATAAGGTCCACTTTTTCAGACCGTAATTACTGGCAGCGCAAGCCAGTTACTATAAGTTACTATAAGTAACTGGCTCGCGCTGCCAGTAATTACGCGGCGGGATATTCAGGGCACAGACCGTGATCATAAGATAGCGCGAATAGAAAATAGAATTTAGAAAATAGACATTGCATGTGAACGAAGCCTAAGACTCTACACCCTCCATAATTATTTGTTTCCTGAAGATTATAAGCATGTAACAAGATGTGAAACTATGCATCTTATCTATAGGAATAGGGGTCAAATTAGCTTTGAATTTTTATATCAAAATATTTTGATCACATTATCAACACATTTCCTGTAGTATGTCCAATTTGTGTTTTGCCTGTTTTAATTTTTTAGAAAGTTTTATTAAAGTTTGTTTGCATGTTCATAGATCAATTTTTAAATTTTTTTAAAGTCTTATCCATTTTTTCTTTACTGTGATTTTAAGTCATGTGTACCCCAGATGAATTTACCTTCTAGCTGAAGGAAGTTCATAATTTTGTTTTATCGCCATGCTACATTATTTGGCTGTGAAATGAGTAGAGCAATCTCACCAGAAGTTTATTTTTATGATAATGTAACAGAATTGAGTCATGATTTTCCCACCCAAAGCAAAAACAGATACACATCTTTTCATTTTGATATATTTTTTAACAAATCAGTCTGCGCAGTGATAGAAAATGTTTTTAATCTTCTTGTCTGTAATCTGTAGTCCATATAGACATATAATATGTAAAATAGATCACTACACTCATGTTGCTGACTGAAGATAGAAACTAACGTTAACCAGACATCCCACCAATGAAATGGCTTGTTTGCAGTTACTGTTGGTTACCACCAAATGAAACTTCAACAGCTCAATTGCCAGTACTCTGCAGTTACCACTATAATATTGACTGCTGAAAAATTGAGAATTTACTCAGCTTAATTATTTTATTTCACAAAATGTAGAAAGAAATAAAGCAACATATTCAAATAAAAAAAGCAAGTACCAGTATATGTAGCATTTAGGTGCGGAATGCCAGGAAATAAATATATATTTTAATGGATTCTATACTTTTCACAGTATGTAAATAGTTTTACAGTAGTGGGCCATGGCTTGCAATGGCACAGGTTATTCAAACTTACTCACATCATTAGCAAAGACCTCAACAAAAAGCATGCACTTGTCGTCAAACAAGGCTGTTAAGCGATTGAGTTTATCTATTGTAAATTTCATGGGCCAGCAGAGCTGGCTAAGCTTCTGCAAATATTTTCATAAGTTATACAGCAGATATTAAATCCAGTAAACGTCCAATCCATGACAGTCAGAGTTATTAGCAACCAAGTCGTAAGTGGCGCACAGTTAAATGCATTGCCATACATAAGGTTTTAACATTTAGTGATAGTGCAAGGAAAAAGTAAGTAAGTTTTATTGTTTTTAACTTTTTCAATGTTTTATTATTTTTTACATCGATTTATCTGTTAGGTGGCGGTTGCTTAGCTGGGAATTAAAGAATTTGAATTTCTGTGTATGGGGTGAGGTAGAAGTTAAACATTAAGGCAGACATTTTGGTAAAATGTACACCACCCATATCTTTTACAACCCTCTCAGTAAGATAGAATTCAGTGCAAAATGGATAGAGCAATTATTTAAATATTAGTCTCAGTTTTCTAGTGATTATAGATATTTTTGTGTACCTTGGGTCATTATTTTCCACTTATGCTTGTGCTAAATGTTACCACGGGCTTGTTGCATGGAAACTGCTATGCTGGACTACCTAGTATATGTTGTGGACTTTTCTTCAGTGCTTAATTGGGATGATTGAAATGTAATGTATAAATATATATTTTTAAAAGGATTTTGGTATTGATTTCATGCTATGTATTTATATTTGTAAATAGAGGTAAAAAGAGCACTCATTGGATTCTATAGGTCAGATTTGAACATTGAATTTTTGCTGGCTAGATATACTAAATTTCACCGTAATAATCTCTTATTTGCAGTAAGCCTCAGGTAAAAGAGCGTCCTGTGGTAGGACCCCCAGACCTTCCAGAACTTAAACCAGCCGAGAGACCTGCCACCCCTGTGAAGCAGCCGACACCCACTCCACCCAAACACCCAATACAGGGAGGAGTGGATGTGGTCAAGGTAGACCCTCTGGTAAGACCAAATAACCTTCTTTTTATTGCTTACTAACTCACATCTTTTAGCAGTAATATGGCTCTGAGTTTTTTCACCACCCTATCTAGATAACCATTCATGTGTTCCAGTTAACAGTATTCTACAGTATTTGATTGCTGTAGGTTTTTTTTTTCATAATGAGACAAAAACAGTGTCTAACAAAATCAGGGTCTGTCGCTTCCCTCAGGGCTGTGACAATGTTAAGCACTTAAAACTGCAAATGGAGATTGATTCTCATGTATGGCAGATATATTTGGTACTATTGTTGTGAGCTGACTGTATTTTTTGCTGCATTTCCGTGCAATTAATGATATTGATTATATCCAACTTAAAGAGGCAATTGAGAGAAGTATGGTTAGATATTGGCATTATACCAGAATCTGTATGAGTGTGTGGTAGAGGTAGAATATATATAGAAGAGAATGTTATATGCTGGTCAGGATGGAGACAGTGATGGGGCTGCTGTGGAGGCAGACGACATGGAGGAAACTGAAATGGAGGCTCCAAAAGAACAGCGTGCAGTGACCCCTAAAGCCGCAGGAAAAGGAAAGACCAAGAAAAAAGGAGATAAATCAAAAATGACAAAATTGAAAAAGGTTAGATGTGGAAACGGAGTGGACTTATGGCTGAAGTGCATGATCTGTGATTTTGTTCTTTGCAGTAGAATTTATTTTTACAATATGGATGAGTTTTAAACTGAAGTTATTTGATGACTATGAAAGAATATGGGATTTATTTCAGTTACTTGATTCGTGTTTTTCTCTGTTGATTTTTTTAATCTAATGCTGTATGTTATTAAAATTTATTTAGAACTGCACACTGAGATTCAGGGATCTAAAAATCTTTGGGACCCAAGCATATACTTGATATACTGGCATTAATTAACAGTAAACACAAACCTATGGTCTGTAGAGGAAAGGCACTGCCTAACTGAAAATCAGTGTGTTGCAGTAGGTAAGCAGTCTTTTTTCTTTTGGGGTTCCATTCTTCTATGTTTTAGTCTTAATTTTGATGACAAATTTTAGTTTAGGCATGTAAATGAAAGGTTGATCATTTATTTATGTTGTTAGAAAATTCCATCTTACTTTAGATATGTTAACAACTGTAATCTTTCTTTGCAAGGTGGCTTCCTCACTTGAAAAGCACAGTGTAAATCAAATATAATGACTATGCTTTTCTGGTTTCAAAATCAAAATGGTACAATGACTTTGAAAATATTGCAGTTGAAATTATATGAAAATCTTATTTCCCTTTGAGATTCCCTATATGTAAAAGCCTGTCCTTGAATAAATCAATCACTCTTAAATCTAACATTCATTTTTGAGTGCAAAAATGTTCTTATTAGTTAATTTTAAGAAGGCAACCACCTTTGCATGAAAATTTATTTTAATTTATGATTGAGGTGGAAATGACTTAATGAAGATTGTGAACAGGAGAAAAGAAAATAATGTTAATAATCTTCCAAATAGTTTACCTGTTAGGGCATTGTATACTTTAGAGAATGTGCATTCTGATGTAGATAAAATAATATTTACAGATTTAAGCTCAATATTTTAGATAACGTTATCTAATTAGAGTATATGTATTTAACAATAGATTTAATGTAGTGTATACTTTGATACCTTTCTCAAAAATAAAGAAACAGAAAAAGAAAGAAAAGAAAGATGAAAAAGAAGCAAAAGAAAAAGCTGAAGCAGAAGCTGAAGAGCAGGTTGGTTATTTTGAGTGTGAATGGTATAAAAACTGCAAATGAACATTGCATAGTATTTTTTCATTTGACAAAATCATTCAAGTGAGATATGCACAGAAAATATTTTTGAATCTCATTGGTGTATGTAAATGAGGTGAACATGTAATTTAATAGATTTTGCAAAGGGTTTATGGACAGTTCATTATATGTTGACAAATTGTTGTATTTATTGGCTGCAGATAATTAGTTACTATTACTTGTTATACACTCTTGAGTTACAATGGTTCTACACCATTTTGCTTTTTATTGTCAAGGGTATTTTTATTATCATATTAGCTAAAGGCCAAATGTCACTATATTTGAAAATAGTGAAAGATAAATTATAAAATGAATGCTAATTGTTATGTTGTGATTATAAAAATATACAGCTGGAAGATGACAAGCTGACAAGAACTGGAAAATCAAGGGTACATTTTATTACATTTTTCAGTTTTATACAAAAGAAATTTTATAGAAATGGTTTGATTCAGAGTGCTTTTAACTTAGAATCTAAGGCATGAAAGAACCTGGAATTTTTCTTCCTCTTTGTTTCTCTCTTTTCTTTATTTTATGATTCTGATAAATTTGACATGAAATGATTGATTCTTAAAGTTAGCCTCTCTGGGTGTTACTGGATCTTTAGTCATTTCATTTGTCATTTTATCTTATGAATTCGTAAAACTAAATTATAGGGTATAAAAGTTGTGGTTCAGTGGAGATTAGTCAGTAAATATACATTTCATATTGCAGTCACATATGGGATCAGCCAAAGATCACACCCAACATCCAATAAGGAAGCATTTGATTAAATTTCTTTTCAAATCCTTAAAGTACTCATTTGTCCCAGGCTTTCAACTGTGTACCTAGGATCAAAGTTATACTCTGTGTGGGTGCTGATTGGCGTGGCTTTAGTGTTTCTTTCTGCTGATATATTATGGAACAACTATTCATGCTGGCCTGGTGTATTTAAAGAGACTTAAAAAGAAGATATCACACTAGGCTTTACAAAAATTAATCACTCTTGTAAAACTTAAAGCAAACTTATTTGGTAACTGTTAAACTTGGTTTTGTAGGAACTGTTGGATCTTGAGATGAAATTGAGGAGAAGAGAGTATGAAATGATGGAATCAAATGATCAGGGTTTTCAGGTGAGCATACCATATCCTACATTTTACTTATTTCAACATAGAAGATGGTAATGAAATGTGGGTGAATTTTAGGTTGATCACCTAGAGTTGCCCTCACTGAAGTCAACCACCATTCTATTTTATGCTCTGTTGAATACTTTGTAACCATAATCTGGAGCAACCTATAATCATATTACAGGAATAGTTACTATGTCATGAAGGTGCTACCATCAATATATGTCAAAAGATACAATATAAAAGAGCAAATGTGTAATATCAAGCAACATTTTACAGACCTTTTTTTAATGATTTAAGGGGATTTAAAGGTGTAAACAATAGTTTCATTGTATAACTTAGTTATCAAAGTTAGGAATATAAGATATAGAAATATGTGCACATTTCCTGGTATTTCAGATTTGTCCAGGATGATTTCAGAATGTAGTTTATATATATGAAGGTAAATTGAAACACTTCCTTAAAAAGACTAAATTATTTTCATTTCTTTTGTAAAGCGACCAAAAGGACAAAACTGGATGAGCACAAGAATGGCACTGTCTAAGCAAGCCAGCAGATTTGAGCTACCGATGGACATGAAGTTACTGGAAAGTATGTATGACCTGAGCATTTCATCAGTAAAATTAAAAGGGAAAGTAACATTTAACCTACAATATTGGAAGATCACATGTATTTGCATAGGGCACATAGTGAAAGTATTTGAAAAAATAAATTGGTTTGTTGAAAAGTTAAGATATGAGATAAAAGTACCATAATATGAATACCTTTTTTTCAGCAATGAATCCACAAGACTACCTCAGAGAGTACTGCAAAGTTTCATCAAAGCGCACAGCAATCTATAAAAAGTTCTTTGACAAACATAGGGAGAAGACTTTCAATGTTACATTCCAGGTAACAAACTTTTATAGAATGTGGATACAATGTGTTCAATAAGATTGGCAGAGATGTTGTGTATGAGAAATGAATAAATTTTGTGTCATATCATCATGTAAGCTAGGTTATGTATATTAAGTTGAAAACTTATAATCAACACTCCTCAGTGGCATATGCCATTTTCATTTTGGCAGAAAAAATGAACATTTTTTAACAAGTGGATAAAGCAACCAAAACTAATATGAAAATGAGAAAATAGGTTTATTCCTTACTTGGAGACTAAATATCATCAGTCAAACATGACGAAAATGTCACAAAGTTAAAACCAAAACATTTTCTTTTGTTAAATTATTTCAGAAAATGTCTGACTTTCCTTTATTATTTATTACAGAAATTAGACACAGTTCTAAATGATGTTCTTGCTCATCCAATCGGCAAGGAGACATTCCAGGATGTGTGCTCCCTGGTACAGCTGGATGAAAACACTAGCATTGACTACAAACTGTTTGCTGGGATAGCGGCACTGTGTGAACGGTTACTCTATACACGGTTTATGTAAGTGATTACTACTGAATCATTTTACTTATTGATTTGAAATGATTGAGAATATTAAGACAACAACAGTTGTTAAAATCTTTGCCCCAGCCTAATATTAGAGACTTTAGTACCCCCCCCCCTTACATGCACACACACACACCATACTATTACAATACTGCCCTATACAATACTGGTGAACTAAAAGGACTTGTGAGAAAAATTGACATATTTTTGATCCTTAATTTCCATGCGGTAAATCTCATTTTTTAAGATATAAAATTTCAGCACTGAAGACACTGCGGACATGGTTGAATATCAGAAAGAGAGGATAGAATGTGCAGATTTCACAGCTCTAGAGTGGAAATTCCAAGGCATTCAGGCCAATCCAGAAGTTAAAAAACTGTTGTGGAGTATAGCCACATAGAGATGGGAGTGGAAGCACATCACTTGACTTCACAGCCGAAGTGAATTATATTGAGGCTTTCTCTGCATGGGCGAGATGGTCTGCTCATTAAAATAGAGGTCACTCCTATCCACCTATGTGCTCTCCGCCTTGTCTGTAGCCCTCCTCTAAACAAGCTGCAACAGGGGCCAAGACAGATAGGGTATACTTGGTAAATCAAGTGAAAAAGCCAGTTTATCAAATGAAACCCACTTGTTCTTTCTCCAAACATGTGAGACTATGAGAACATAGTAACGGCATTCATTTTCAATGAAGCAGAGGGGTTGCTTGTGATTAATACACTCTTATCTCTTTCAAATTCATTGAACAATCAAAAATTCCAAAGAAATCCAGGAAATTTTCAGTGAGACACATGTGATAATGATATGGTAGCAACATAGCTATTCAAGTCAAACCAATGTGCAAAAGCATGCTTCAAACACAAGCATTGACTCAGGAGATAGTTTGATATCTCAGTGCTACAAATCTAGAAACTTATCAAAATATTTTTCAGGCATTTAATTCTAGTGATAAAGACACAAGCAATGTTTCAGATATAATTGATAAAATATTTTGACGGCCCTGTCAGCAGATCTTTTTTTAGCTTTATGCATTTTAGTTGGAGATAAGATTGCTTAAGTCTAGTCTAATTTTATCTACTTGTCTGTGATCTTCTTTAGACAGACCTTTTTTAAGACAAATCATATTTTGAAATATTTCATCAGTGTGCAATAAAGGTTGATGGTAAAAGAGAGAAAATTGAATCAAAATCTTTTTGTGTGCTTGGCATGCATTTATCCATTGCACCTTGTGCCATTTTTCATAACATGGAAGTACTATTGTGTAGCATTATTCATGTAACAATAAACCATACTGTTTATAAAAAATTCTAGTTCCTCTTTTTATTTGGAATATTTTGTAGAAACACAAGATGCTATATAAGCTTTTTAGGACTACATAAGAGCACATATGCTATATCACTTAAACTATACTTGTACTGATGTCATCTTTAACTGAGACTGTGACCAAAACAGCACTGACAAAAAAGCACTGCATATTTTAAAAGATATTTTACATGTAAAACAATCGTTGTTAAATGCTCCAAAATCATCGGTTTTGTAATGAAATATTAACATTTTAGAATCATGTTACAACGTGTGCAATACTAATGGGAATCTTTTTTGCCCAATTATTATTACATAAATTTACATTTGTGATAGTTCCTAAAAATACAGTGTGCATTTTCTTTTCAAAATTAATATGAGATGTAAAATCCCTAGGTATAAAATATTCCACAGTCAATCGTTTAAGTGTATTGTGTAGTCACTATATGACCATGCTCCTAAACATCACTTGGAAACCCTCACATTTCATCCCTCCAAGTACATGACTACTAAAAGAAAATTATCTCTAGTTATAATTTTCAGCAGATTCATTCCCAATTTCTGGGGTAAACAGGTTTCCACACTAAGATAGTCCCTTACAGTATGCTGGGAGTTTCCACAAAAGCAACAAACTAGTCACTATCTTCACTGTTACTGCTGTCAGAGTAATTTCCAAGTAAAGACAACCCACCAGCAACTACAGGTTTACTTGCTGTTGCAGTGCTTGAAGATTTTACATTATTGGATACATTAGTGGTCCCATTTGCTAATGTCTTCTCTTTGTCATTAGTTTCATCTGATACACTAGCTGATCCATTTTCTCCTTCTGTGGGGGTCGATACATGTTTTGTTTCTGTGTTACTGTCTTTCTTAGGTTTAACAAGAACCAGTCCTTTCAATGAAGATTTCTTTGACATAACCCCTTGACTTTTCTTCCATGGTTTTTGCTGTGAGAAGGTTGAAGTCTTTGAAGAAGAAGAAGATGTCACCTGTGTTGTCTTTTCTGTGTTGACATCCTAAAAAGAAATTCCACTTGTGAGATTTTCTGACAGGAACATGTCTTTCATTACCCTTCACTTCACAAATCATCTAAAGGCAGCTAATTCCAATTACATCTACTGCACCATTTATCTATTTGATTGTAATAGCCTTCAAGTATTTTAAAGAAAAATACATAAGCTTGCAGACAGACAACACCAGTAAAGAAAAAGACCCTCTACCAGGGCTACAGATCGATTTTTCACTAAATATTCACACGTCTCTGGCTAATATTGGGCACTTCTCTTTACTGGTAGAATGACATCATCATTCAGTTGGCCTCCACTAGACGGAGAAAAATGTGTACTGACTATAAGCCAAATTACAGTAATACTCAGCTTACCTCTGCCAGAATATCTGTGGGTTTGTCACCAACTGCAAACTTCTTCATTACAGGTACTTCTTCACTGTCACTATCATCTGAATCATGGATCCTTTTGACTAGTCCCTCATCCTTCTTCCCAAACACTGACCTGCAACAGAAAAAGGAAAGGGGGTTAATTTCCACTCCAGTTAATTTTGATCAATTCAATTACAATGTATAATTCATAGTTGTATCAGCATGTACAACCAAATGTGTGCTGCAAAATATACTTAAAATATATATTAGATTAAATCATGCAATTGCATACTATGTATAACTTCAACAGAAGAGCACTTACTGTATGAACTTTTCATCTTCTTCATCCTGAAGCTTTGCCAGTTGTTCTTCATAAGCAGCATGCAGTTCTAACATGGTATTTTGGTCCACTTTCTCCTTACGAGAGTTGATTTCTCTGAGTTCCTCAAGATTTTCCAGCATCTCCATTTCATTTCTGGATTGTTTTGTTCGATTTTCTAACAACTAAATGGTGAGTATATTCATTTAATAAAATGATAATATATAAAAGATCTAATTTTACAAGAAACTAAAGTAAACAAGATTTATCTAAATATAAAAGGCCCACAAAAGGCCAGATATATTGCAATTGCCAAAAATCAAATTTTCATGTAGGAATGAGTTGAAGCAGGAGGACATTTTAAAGCAGGGAGTGTATCAATCAAACACTTTAGTTAGTAACTTGGATTAAAATGAAACTGACAAACCCTTGACAAAGGGGAATCAGGTAAAACAACTGAAAACTAACTGTACAAAGTTAAACTGGCCCTCTTGTAATTACACAGCTCATAAAAACAGCTCACCTCTAACAACACATTATTCTACGATTATTATTCATTATACTATTCTCAGTTGCTTACTTTCATTGGATTGTTAGCTTCCTCTTCTTCTTTCTGTTTTATTTCATCCCTAGCCAACTTCTCTGCTGTCTTCATGGCCTCAAAATTCCTGGTGGCACCTGCTTCTATGGCATAGTCTGTGTTCTCAAGATCTGTCTGAAATTCAAAATAAATGTTTTACATTTCAAAATGTTAATTAGCATGCTTTATATCAGAAAATTCTGCTCAGAGAGCAGTGAGATATTTTAAAATGAACAGGAACTTACACCTATAAGAATATATCTATCAAAAGTTGGATGGTATCGCATTATTCACTGAAAAAATTTATTAGTTCCTTGGAATAACAACATATTTGACAAAAAATTAAAAATAATAAAACAAAATATTGGAACATCACTGATGATTTTGCCTATTCCTGAAAACATATCTTTACCTTGAAAGAAATCTCTGCCACACATCTTGGGCACCTGATATAAAATCTGCGTATGTGAAGTCCCAGGTAGTTCTCATTCTCCACCAGCTCAGTTCTGGAGTTAAACTTCTTACCTTTGTAAATGTATTCACCACAAGTGTTACACCTGGAACACAATAAATAACATAAACATGTTGGATAGAATTTCAGTAAATATAAATAGCTTGCCACACAAAATTGAATGGAGCTTATTCTTGTCACTAATAATGTTATTACACTGATGAAAGTAAAGCACAAATTCATTAGATTTAATATTAATTGTACATTTTTTAATGCATGCATGTATTAAAAGATAAATGGTTTTCATGTATAGGGGTGTTCTAAGAGTGGGATGTAAAAAGATCATTATTTTATTCCTTTTTTTCAGGATAGACATTTGAATGTGAACTCATGATATTTCCAGGTATATGTTTATATGTTATGGTGGAAAATGACACTACTACTAAGAACCTGTTGATGTGGTCACATTGAAACAATATGCCAACATGGTCCAACTGCCAACATGGTCCATGTGTTAATTTGTCTTTACTTACCTCATATTAAATGGTGCCATGGTACGGATGTTGTAAACACGATTTCTAGCTTGTTTGAGTTTGGGAACTTTTGAAGGATCAAAGTCTGGGGGATAGTATTTCTGTAAAAGAAGTATGCCAAAGCAAGTTATATTTACTTTAGGTAAGACAGTGTCAGAACCAAATACAAAATGTAATTTTGCAGAAAGTATCCCTGCCCCTTTCCAGTCCCACTGAATCCCGCCCTCAGTTACCTTAAGTTTAAACTCACTGACATATCCTTTTAAGAATCTGGTCTGAATTAATGAAATCATTGATGTAAATTCGAAAGCTTTACAATATACTAACAAATTTTCAGTGGTGCAAAACCAAATTAGAAAGATATCAAAAGTTGGAGCAAACTTGATCGACCAATGATAATGTTAACTTACACAACATAATACGTGTGGAAATCACACAGACTTAAGATATAACAATTAACTTACATTCAGAACCTTTCTTTCTGACATTTTGACAGCTCAGTTGCTCACGTACTAAAGAAAACTTCTCCAAAACCTTATCGTTCGTCGCGGTCGTCGCCGCAGCAGTAACCTTCACCTTACATGCAGAGCTACCCAGTTATTTTGTAAAACGGTTAGAATCAGTGATAATGTACGGAGGCTCTTATGTGCCATTAAAATCTACCGCATTGAATAGTGTGGTCGTGCTGTCCACACTGAAACAGAAAATACCATCTTGTTTAAAACTGTGCTTATATCATGTCTCTTAACTCGTTATCGCATTTTTAGTCTTTTTTTGTGTGCTCTCTCTTTTTTTTTTGCTCTGAAAAGAAAAGCAAACCAGTTTTTTTGTATCATTAGGCATATACATATTCTAGACTTCATTACCATTTCAAAAATTAGCTGATTTGTTTTAAAACTCAAGCTCGTATTTGTTTCACTTTTAAATCATAATGTTAATCTTGGTCAATAAGCTGTATCTACTAAATGAACTAATTTTAACATTTTGCTGTGTAAAATGTCGCGTTTCCTGGTATGCTACATGCACAACTACAATCAGGCACAGCTACTACAATCTAACCAGACCATGGCAAAGGCTTCTCAGACTTGTGGTGATGCAATGAGAGCAAAAAAAAACTTCTCTTCCCTACCTCCGTGACCTAAATTACCTTATTGCCAAAGAAAAACACACCCTTTCCTTTTTTAATGATCCTCTACGGCATCTTATATAGGGTATTTTTAATTAAAATTAACATATTGTCATGAACTTCGGGTTTGGGTTTTCAATCTATAACATTTCCGAACATTCCCACTTTAGTTTTTATATCCTGCGGCCCAGCCAACAAGAAGGTCTAGATCTTCAAGTCTAATCTTTTTCTTCATCTGATTTGTGGCAAATAACCAATGTCAGCGACAGGTTCTACAGTACAAAGTCTGTACCTTATGCTGGTTCTTGTATTCAATTTGCAGAGAATACATCAAAGGTAATAATAACACTGAATAACATTAACAACAGCCAAAAGAGTAAGATACGAGTGCTACAGAACGAAAATTTGATCTTCAGTTCTCCCTGAAGAATAAATTCTTGCTGCTCTTGGAATTGCTATTTTTTTTTTTTTTTTTTTTTTTTTTCAATTTATCGATGCGAAATCCCACAACTCATGTTTTCTTGATCACCGTTATGCGCCGGTGAAAAAAAAATATAAATAAAAAAAAAAAAATCAAAGTCAACAAATTATCAGATAGGCGGATCTACATCTACAGTTGTACCTGGTAGTTTAATGAGATACTACTGCAGCAATACCGCCTGCATTTGTGCAGATACAAGGGCTTTATTTGCTATTCATCATTATTTACGCAGTTTGTTTTGCGTTTGTGTTAAAAAGAATTTTGAAAATGGATCACCAAAATTGATATATTTGATAACGTTCCTTTTAGTATCAGCTAGGAAAGAATAACCATTGAGTATCGTAAGTTACAGTGCATTTAACTAAAAAGGTGGATAAAAGAATTACTAAAATCCATCCACTCGATATAAACCAATCTTTTGTTGAACCATAGGTGCGTGTTAAAAAAAGAGATATTGACGCAAGTAGAAGTAATACTGAATGCAAATCTTTTATAAGCCGAGGTGAATTTGATATTTGATACCGCTGCTATAATTTCTTGGTACGATTTAGTTGGAGATCGTAGCTACAGATTAAATAACTTTTGTTATTGACGCCTTGACATTTTAAAGACAAACTTAATTGGTGGACGGATGGATGTGACTGAAAGAAAAAAATGGACCGAATAGACACTGACGGATATGCACAAAAACAAGCGCATAATTTAAACAGACTGATTAAATGCATTGAAATAGTATACACATATCAATTAAATAAGTTAATATCATATACACCGTTCAGCTGGTCTTTTTACTACATAATATTATTATTTCTTAGAGGTCACGTTCCTCTAAACCTCAGCCGCATTCAATGCATTCACAACGCCGACCTAAAGAAATTAATCTCAGCCAGCTTACGCTTGGTCACAGATCAATTATGTTCTTGATCTTGGTTGGCAACCGGGCTCATATCACTGTTTGCGGTTATCAAAAGGGCATTCTGTCGTTTGTTTATTTTGTAAAGCGCATGCGCCCTGTAATAATTTACTATTGCCAAGGAAGCAACCCCGACCAGCTGAAAACGGGATAAAAAGCGTGGTCAAAGATTTATTAGATTTTTATCAACAGTTCAAGGGAGTTAAGTACTCGAGTATTGTTGAAACGATACGTTTTCCATTGGAAAATGTTCATTTAACGAGCTCTGGAGTTTTAAGGGACCCACAACCGCAAAACTTAGACCGAGTTTGGAACTTCACCCAAAACGAATTCGTGGTCGCTGGATAGCGATTCATGTAGTTTTCTGCCTCGCGGAGTTTATACGGTAGTTGAGAGGAAGATGCGAGCTGGTGCCGAAAATGTTGACCATGTCTACAGTTAATCCTGTGTCAGACGAAAGAGCAATTCGACAGTTGCCAACATTGCCTAAGGCTAAATCCGCAGGGTCGGGAGGCTCTGGTAGTGGGAACAGTTTATCACCTACACGGGACTTTAAGCAGATTGACATCCCCAACCTCCCCCCTTTAGTCCCCCGGGACGCAGACGAGCTCAGTGCAAGGAGGGTTCAGGCCAGACCCACAAAGGTTGGTGCTTGCGATTTGTTGGAATCCTTAATATAAAGGCATGTAAAGTCGATGCAAAGTTGAGTAAACTGATAATGTCCAGAAACAAATGTTTTCACGTAGCACGAAAATTCACACACACACGTAAGTACAGATCAGAATCGTCAGTTGGAGTGCTAACGCATGAATTTTCGTGCTAGCTTTCACGGAGGCGTTTAGATATTGAATCTGTAATTTTTTCATATTTTGACATGAAAAAAGATATTTACTGTATGTTTTTTTAAATTAATTTTTTTTCATTATATTATCCTTATTTTCAATCAGTAAAGCTTTTTTTATGAATGTATGAGTGAATATGTCAGTCAACCCCTAACCCCTACCCTCTTACTGAATATATTAATTGGCATTACTTGTTACATTTAGTTCAATATTATAGTAAATCATTAATTAGATGAAGTTGTGTGGATAACTTCATAACAAAAGCTAATTCTTCAATCAATCTCAGTTCATGATTTTTTGCATAAGCCTTATGTGATGAGATCAATACAGTTATAATCAACCTGTATAATTCTCTGTGACACCGATTGACACCTTGATTATTTGTTGCCCTGTGTGACTTCTGCCAGCCGTCTTCAAGTACCTGTAAATAGATCAATATATCTGTCCATAGTCATAAGCTTGTTGTAATTTAGTTCTTGGGTTGTATTACTATACAAATAAAATACTTTTTTACTTAATGCTTCAATCTAGATGCTGTACCAGGCTCCAATTAACTCATTTGATTACAGTTAATGCAAAACAAAGTGGTTTTAACGTAATCTAGTTTTTTATGTACTGTTGCCCAGATCTTATTTCATTTGTTTTAAGGATAGTAACTTACTGTTTACCATCTAGTTAAATTCTGTGAATATTCTAGGTATATACTATTGGCATATTTTATTTTAAAGGTCCACACTTCCCCCAATATGCATGCCAAGTCAAGGTTTGAAGACAATCGACCAAAGGAATTTAATACAGAGCCACTGCCATATCAGCCTCAATATTTCAAGTAAGTAAAATGTTTTTGTGTCTTACAACAACCAGAATAAAACCTCAGATTTGATATGAAGAAAAATGCCTACCAAGTGAGCTTATAATTATAACATTTCAAAAATTGATGTTTGCATGTACATGCATTTGCTGCCCAGTCTTTTACAGATATCTGAAACTGGGAGGAAAGTTGTTCCATATCCATTTTCCAAAATTGAATGGACTTACATAAATTGTACATTATAAATGTAACTTGCTTTGGTGCCACTGTGGTCGGGACAATTGAGATATTGAAGAATTGTTGTTTAGTTTAAGATGTCTTCTGCCAATTAGGGAAACATTTGGTTTCTGTTTGTGAAATATCCACAATATAAATATGATAATGAAATACTGATCAGAATTTACACTATAAGACACAGCATGACACAGACATAGGGAACATACATAGTAGACCCTTAAAATGTCAGTCATAACTGTACTACTATTTTCACCATGCCTTCTATCTAGTAGTTGTCAGCTTATAGTAAGGATAAATATTAGTTTTGTGAGAATAGTGATCCTTTGTAGTAGAAGAGGCATTGGCACACAGACGTGAGATGCGATCTGCATAAGTAAATTTACAGAGTCTTTAAGTGTTTATACATTCTTCTATCAAGTTTGAATGAGTTAATAGAATTAAATTGAAAGACCCAATCACAAGTGATTTGGTAGTCTTATTGAAGTGTGAAAATAAGTTAAGTTGATGTGTATATTAGAGAACTACTGTTTATGAAGTTAAATGATTTTTATTACCTATTTGTATTTTTGCTTTTTTAGTGCTGCAAAAGCATGTTAGTTTTTCATTGATTTAGGTCCTTTACTGTCTTTTTGTAAAGGATTAATTTTTTTTGTAATGTGTTAAATTAATAGCAGTATTGTTTTGAGACTGAAGTTTATATTTTATTTTTGTAGATCTTCCACGATGTTGAAGAAAGTGTCCATTCCTAAACGTCACCAAGATACCTTTGGTGGTAAAGAAGTGGCTATGACAAGACAGAAAGAAGTAATCATTCATACAGAAAGATACCAGGTACGTATTTTTGCACAGATTTTAGAAAAATTTCATAACCTCTTTGGTTTTCCAATCCCACATATATTTCTGAAAATTTTGAAAATTTGAAAGTGGGTATGGAGTGAAGGGGGAGTCGGTATTAAGCATTTTGCTTGTCAAAATTTTTGACAGAAATATGTTTTAATGCCAAAAGTTTGTTTTGGTTTTCTTCATAATAATAGTAATGTGATTTTTTAAAATCTGTAGTTTATCAAATCAGCTTTTTTAGCATTGTCAAAGTGCCAGATTTTTCTTTTCAAAAGTTTTAATTTCAATAGATATATACTGATTTTCAAATCAAAGTGATTTGAAATCCATGAGATGAATTAATGTTAAATGACTTGTGTTGCCAGAGAGAGTCTCCAATGTTTGGTATTGGAAAAGTAAGTAGACGGAGTTTGGTTACTGACAGTTGAAAAACAGGGTGGAGGTGTATACTTGAAAGTTTATCAATACAAATTAAAGTGAATTGATTTTTTGTGGTGTTTTAACATATTGCATGAGATATGATAATAAAAAAAAGCATGCGACACAGTGTGATTGATTTTTTTCCCCAACTGGCCTGGTTATGGGCATGTGGCTTTCTGTGACTGTGAAACTTGATGTGTGAAATGAGCAATTTGTAATTGACAACGGTTGCAAACTATTGTAGGAATAATTGAAGAAAATCATTAACATTGACTCTAACATGTTTTCCAGATGAGTTTCATGACTAATGCATTAATAATGGAAGCATTTATATTTACCCCAAGGCATGCCAATTGGACATAATGAGAAAATATCCAGTCTGTTTTTCTCATTATTTACCAACCTCAAGAATTTTTTCCTATAGTTAATTCCATTACCAGTTGAGTGACACATCCTAATGGAGATATGAATAGTACAAAATCGACCACCTTTAAAACAAGACAAAACGTAGAAAACTTTAAAAGAACATTAGAAACCCCTTATATAAAAAGACTGTTATGATTAAAATAATGGCAATTATACCGAAGTAAGTGGTAGATCCACATGCTTGGTACATACCAAAACAACTTTTTGAAAAAAACATTGTTACATTTTAATAAAATAAGAATACTTTGATTTAAAATAGGACATGAATAGTGTCATTTGATGTTTGGGTTCATTGGCATATGATGTATTTTATTGTTTTTTGTAAAACAAACATTGGAAAGGGTACAAATATTGCTGTATTTTCTTTGTTTATCTGTCAGTGTCCTGGGTAGCAAAGTATATGATGAAGGTCATTCCAGAAAATGATTGACTGAAAATGCCAAAAAAGGTAAAAAGTAATACATTCTCTAAAAAAAAAAATCAGACAGAAACAGTTGTGAAAAAAATTCATTTTTCTACTTTTCAGTGGGATGTTGAATCAGACAAGAATCCTCCAGTGCAACCGTGAGTAGATGTACTTTTTTCAGCTGTATTTCAGGAAAAACGTTTGGATAAATTTTAAAAATATAAGATAATGCTTCAAATAAATAATTAAACCATTTATATTTAGTTTGTACATAAATATGTTGATTAAAAAATTTAGGTGTGTATGTAAACTTGTGTTCAGTGTTTTATTTATTAATTGTTCAAATGTTTTTAATTTTTGTCACTAATTCTTATTAAATTTATTTTATTGCATGTGATAAATGTAGTGCTACTTAGATAATTGAAAAGTATTTGCTTTTATAACTTCAATTAAGGCACAGCACAGCTTTTTAGTTTATTGTGATATATTGAACCCAACATAAGTATAAAATATATAGAAGAAGTTGTATAGAAGTTGTTATATTGTATCAAACACTCCCATAACACAGTGTGGTATATTTAATGTAGCACAGCAACATTGTATCCAATTTTAACATTATATTTTTGACATTGTATCAAGCCAATGATCCAAATGACTTTTTTTCATCATGCACACAGATCTGGCTTTTTTATAACAGCAAAGAAACGTGTACACAAACAAAAAATGCCCGGGTAACTGTGGTTTGTGTGTGCATTTTGTCTTTGACTGTATTGATTTAATATGACTTTAATTTCTTATGTTTGTTTGGAGATTATGTTGGGATATTTTGGCTTTATTGAGTGATAAATGATAAAGAAGTCACTGTATTGGATATGTTGATAAGATAATGCGGTCTTTTTTTTACCTGAGATCTCCAATTATGTGAAGTGATTTGTAAGCTGTCCATGTTAATCCTGTGGCTTATTCGCCTAGTTACATCTCTGTTTTAGTCTGTTTTGAAATAAACAGGTCAAGTGATTAAGCTACTTTGAGTAGCGTTTTGGAAGAATAACACTTTAAATGGATGCACATGAATGAATTTTCTTCAGCTTATGTATATTGTTCTGGAATATTTTTGACATCTTGGGAGGGACATTTTTAAAAAGTTGATTATGCTACAAGTTTTATGAACATTTACTGGGGTTTGGGGGCATATTTTGATTTTGGCCATGTTTTTCTAGATGTAGATGTGCACATTTGATTTTATTTAAGATGACTGCACATAACCTAGATTATTGCACATTGAGTGAATGCTTCAGTCGCACATAGTAATAACTGCATAGTCATATGTAGCCTGTAGTCATTGCACACATCACGATAACTGCATATTGTGAAAAATCATACAGTGGCACTTGCAGCATTGGTGTGGCTTGTAGCATTAGTATTCTAATTTCTTTTATAAGATTCTTTACACTTTTTCCTTATCACTGTAGTGAACTGTATAATTTTATTTCATTTAAACTCCCCCCCCCCCAAAAAAAAAAAAAAAAAATTCTTTTTCAAACTTTACTTACCCTATATTTTACATCTGAGCAATTTGGTAACTGAATAATCATGTATCACAGTATGTCAATATGAACTTCTTTTGAAAAATTTCAAATAAAAAATTAAAATCAGATCTTTAGAAATTTATTTTTTTCATTAGCAAAAAAAATTGATATTTTATTTGATAAAATCTGATTGCTTCTTTACCTGGGGGACTTTTTCTTTCATACTTTGCTCATATCTTTAACCTTCAGCACTTGAAAAAATCTTTCCTCTTGTCAAAATGTACTGCACCTAACATTTTCACTTAATTTCATGAGATATACTGGTTTGATTGTCTGGGTAGTAGTTTAGCATGTAGCTTATCCCACAGCTTCATTTCTTTCTCTTTTGCCCTCTAGACCACTGCCCATTTTGTCCTATGTGCAAACTCCCAATCTGCAAGTGACCAAGAACACATACAACTTTAACAAAATCCGGCAGCAGTACAATCTTAAGTAAGTGGTTCAAGAGTGTGGCAGGTTGCAATTATTGCTGCTAAAAAAGGCAGCCTTTCGTAATAAACTGATTGTGTTGAAGCATGCATTCCATGGGAGTTCATTTTGTGTAGCTTTGTCAAAGGTTTGTAGACATGTTTTTGTCTTCGTGATATGTTGACTTGATAAATACAGATATAGCGAATAAGGTATATGTTTAATGTAGAGTGATTGATATACACGAATACCAGTAGGTATGATTATATGATTATATATGGCATAAGATTTTGTAGATGTTAGAACAATTAATATTTGTTTTGTCTTTGTTTTTGTAGTAGGGAGTCACAACGAGAGCGACATCAGGCAGAAAAAGATTATGTCGAATCTATGAGGGGGTTAAAAAGAAAAAGAGAAGTTCTACCACACAGAGCTCCTCTAGATTTACTTATGGGTGGAAAAAGAGCAGAATTCAATGAAAGGTAAGTTCAGAATGCTAAAGATACACATGATATAATATATTTAAAAAACAAACCTTGCACTGACTGTGTTATTGTTGTAACTGTATATCTGGGCAGAGTTGTATCCTTTTAAGTACATTCTGTTTAGAAAGTAATTTTCAGGTATTGTTAGAGTAGTATTGAACGACAGGTGCCCTGAGATATACAAGGTCATGATTAGATAAACATGCTTATTTAAAGAAAGTTTTTGTTCAAAGCCTGTGGCTTAGGCAAATGAATAAAGAGTTTTATTAGGGTTGTTTGTTCTTTCATTTAAAACCTTACATTTACCTGTTTGAATTTCATAACTGATTGTTTTTGTTTAAAAATTTGGTGTGTAGCAACAGTGACATTGAAATAATATCTCAGTATTTGATGACTATCTTTTCATATATTCAGAGAGAGCATAACAGATGAATTAAACAGGCTAAAAAGTATAGTTTTGCCAGCCAATGCCAGGGATCTATACCATGGTAGAGGAATCAAGTTACCTGCGTAAGTGTCGGAAATAATAAAAATAATTATGTAGTGTGATTTATATCTAGATTGCTTTCAATTTATTTTAATTGGTTGCCACAGTCCAGATTAATGTTTAATTTGCCAGTATAACCAGTAGTTTTGTTTTATTATTTTTATAGATCAAAATGCAATTACCATTTTGCACAATATCATGTATTGATAATTTTATTTCTGATCAGTCAACATGCCTCAGTGAGTCCAAGACGCCCCATGCCTCCAGATGAAGCAATGAGTAAGTTTTTTATTTCTGCATAGATGTGTAGCAGACACTGCATTGAATGCTTGACCCATGTACCCGGTATCATGATCAGCATTGTTGTATGTGTATTACTGATATATAAATGTTTTATTATATATTTATTTATCCTATGCCCCATATTATTAATCATGTATATGCTTACTGTCTATGAAGGATCCCTGCACTAAGTGGATTGAATGTTAGAGATGTAAATATTGTATACTATACTGAAACTACTGTCTGGCCATTGTTGCTAATTTAGATGTTGTGCTGATGTAACTGGCTTTAGACATATATAACTTCACTGAATGCTACTCAATAACTGTAGTCGCATTGCACTCTCAAATGAATGTTGTGATTTACTAGTGAATGATTGGCAAAATTTAACTCAAGTTTATGTCAGGGTTAATATTAAAAAATGAAAATGAAATACATAATTTGCTTACATTTATTGAAATGGATGAGTTTGATATGTGTTTATTGGATGAGAATGTATTTTTTTATCATTGTCATTTTCACAGCATATAGACATAGCAAAATAGTCCTGGTTCCATCTGAAATTGGTTCCGTCTGAAATAAGACATGGTATTTTCTGCCAGATTTTCTCCATATTGTGTATATTACAATAATTACTTTTATTACTGAAAGCCATTATCATTCCTTCATCATATATTTCATTATTCCATGTACACGCTGGTACATATTTTGAATATATATTTAATTCATTTGCATTCATGGTATCTGCAGTAGATACTTTATTGGCTGAAAGGAGACGGAACTTATTTATGGGTTAGTAACTTCAACGCTACATACAATAACTGGGCTTAATGTTTTCTTCAGTTTCTGTTAGCATTTGTGTGATGCCTTGTACGTGTGACATAAAGGCTACTTGTACAGTATGCTTCCTCACATCAGTTGACTTTTACATAGTGGTAGTGTACAGGTTTAAGGCATTTTTTGTTTCTTATTTGTATGCTAGAAAGAAAAGAAAAGAAAAGCATGTTTGTGTTAGGTGTTATACCTGTAAAATAGAACACTTTTTGGAAGATGCATTCAAAGAAACCGATGTAAATAAAAATGAGAATCCAGTGATCTGTTAAAGTTGTGCGGTATATCTTGTAGTCACTGTTATGAGAGGGTACAAAGAGCATGGAGACACCTTATATGCTTTGTGCCTCACTGCTTTGGGATAGCCAAACTTCAATTTTTATAGCAAATAGTGTAAAGGTACATGCTTTCAATTCTACATTTTCATCGATAAAAAGAATTAGATGCTTTTATTTTCCTTCAGTTGTGATTTTTGTGTCCTATTTTGGGGACCTTCTCTCGTAAGTTGTCCATATTTTATGTTCCGTACTGACTTTATTTTTAGTTTTAATCACATTCATTTGCAGTTACAACCTCGGCTCCTGCCACTCTAGTTCGGGTTCCAGTCTCTCACCAACCTTCCAAGTTGTCCCGAAAATCCAATACTTTCATTTCTCAAAAACCCAAGAAAAAGACTCTTGCAGTTATACCTCCTATCAAACGCCAGGCAACTGTGCCCGAGGCCAGACCTGAATTTAAGCCTGACCCCCAACCCCCTGTCATAGCCAAGAAGGAAGAAACTGTAGTTATGAGAGAGCCGTCTCCTCCATCTTCTCCATCTCCAGTAGCTGAGTACAATCCCATATTAGGTAGATACCCATTTCAACATGTATTCTCTCTCTATAAGTGTATTCACGCTGTGCTGGAAAATGTTTCCCTGAGTTTCCCATCTCAATATTCAGTATGAGAGCATTTAGTTGTCATACAGACAGCAACCTCAATACTGTGTTGGTTACAGTATGGTTTGCTTTGTTGATAACTCATCAGTGGACAAGATTTGATCAAACAGATCAAAAGTGGATAGCCTTTTTTCTAACTTTTTACTAATTGTTTAGTTGTTTATCATTTTTTATATTTATTTTATCTTATTAATATTTTTTGCTTAAAATTAAATTTTTCTTATGTTCAGATTTTACGACAATTTAAAGAATTTTTTTCACAACATTTAAGAATTTCCCGTTCTTGCTCTGATACATTGTACAACAGAATGACTGAATATTGATATGGGAGCTGACATATAGGAGCAATTCCACTGCAGGCTTATACCTTTCCTGTAAATGTAGCCTTATTGCTTACCTTATGTGTTCTATACACTGTAGAGTACAATGATTAAGAAGTAAACTTGTAAATGTGCATGAATAGAAGCAGTGATCCTTACCCAGATGTCAAATACTTTGTCCAAATTTGTTTTTAAACTGTTCAACACTAATCCATGTTGTTACTACACACTTATTTTTGATTTGTGTTGTGAGTTGATAACTGTACTGAAAACTGATGAGCACAGTTTTTACTAAGATGCACATGACCTAATCTGTAGATTTTTATGATAATACCTATAATTATGAAAACTTAACTCTCTTGCCGTTTTTACACCTAGCACATAACACTTCACTGGATTCCTCCTTCCTAAAGTTTAGGAATTGAATAATCTGCAACATAGTATTTAAGGGGAAAAAAAGAGAATATACAAGCTTAACATTTATGAACTGGTATTGTACATGTATGTTTGAAGTAAAACTGAATTACACCATAGGTGAATTCAATGATAAAAAAGCTTTTGCAAGACTTGCAAACTCTGTGGTTATTTTGTTTGAAACTGTGTGGTGGCATTTGGTCAGGTTAAGCACTGATTTGACATAAGTGCTCCCTCAGTATGCATCTAAAGACAATGACAAAACTTTTAAAACAGTTGCTGTTGTTTTTTTTATGCAAGTTTAGTGTACAATTTTAGTTGTTAGAAAACAAAACTATAGCAATTATTCAAAGATGATGAAAAATTCACAGTTCACTATCAGTAGCATCTTAGATAGTAATTGCTTGTTAGAACTTTTTCTTCAGCATAACTCCCGGATTCACTTTTTGCATTTAGACTGTTATGACTAATATTTCTAGAACAAGTTAATCTTGATTTCACTCATTTACCATGACTATGGCTTTTGAGTGTATCTGTGGTTCATTTATTGTAGGTCCTTGCTGCATGCTTCAGCTTTATGGGCTTATCATTACAGCACTTTATAATCCAGGCTTGTTTGCATTTTAAGGCATGTTCTCATACAAATTGGGACTGCCCTTCTCTATAGACTGTCAGATTTAACAAAACCCACCATAAGCAGCAAGTGTATACTCCTCTTGTCCCCAAAAGTTAGTTCTTTGCTGTGTTCTTTGCTGTTTTCAGTAGTAGGAATTAAAAGTAGAAAACAGAGAAAAACATTTGCTGCTTATGTTGAATTTAGCTTAATCAGGCAGCTCATAAAGAAGGGCTGAATTAAAAACTGTCACCACAACCTGTGTGTAAATGTGCCTTAACCCATTAGTGTGATTATAGATGCTATTTTGAATACTTTATAGTCAGTTTTGCTCCTAGTGTTTAACCTAAATATATTTAATCAGTAATTACAAACTAATCAGCACTTGTTCTCAGCATGCTCTAGGTTTAGTTTAAATTGTAACTTTTCCCTCTCCTGACTAAAATGGACATTTTATTTCATTTTATTTACTGTTTTAAACCTGTATTCATTTTGACAAATTAATGCTGTTTGATATGAATAATAAGGCTGACTGGATTAATAAAACCTTGTTCCTTTTTTTGTTCCCAGGGGTATTAGACCCCAGCAGACATTCTTCCAGTATAGCTCCAAGGACGCCACGGGTTCCAGTCCACAGTGACGATGACGATCTACATGATCATGATCATAATAGAGGACCGAGTAGAACACTGCCGCGGTAAGTAACAACATTGTGGAGGACAATTATTGAGAGATTACATTGTAATGGGGATGTTTGAATCCCAGGGTTAACAAATGAGTGTGACTGATGCCTCATAGAGCATTGGATCTCTCTCTCTCTCTCTCTCTCTCTCTCTCTCTTATTTTATTGCCAACTTTGATTTAATGACCATTTTGCCTTAACTACAGGAGATATTTGTTGAAATGAGACAGCAGGACTGATCACACAATATGCATGGCTTCAGTTTTTAACCCTAACATGCTTGCAAAAAATAAGAGGTGGCGAGTTTTTCCATCCCTGGATCCGTCTTTTTTGATCAAACCTTGGGAGAGGTTTAAAATTGAAGTATACAATATGCCATTGTTTTTCTTTCTATCTTGAAAACTTGCAGTCCATCTCTGAGGTGCATACGAGTTTGATCAATGGTCACATGATGTTTGCAATGGTTTCTCTTATAAATGACCTTCGATCTTCAAAGGAAATGGATATTTCAGTAGTTGAGACTCTCAATAGCTCTGCTTCATGAATGTAACCTTTTTGTTTTTGTTGTTTTTGGTGCTCTTGTTGTTGTCATGTTATGAAAGAAAATAAAAACAGTGCACTTAATTTTGATACCTGAAGCTGTGGTGTGCTAGAATACATACTGTCATATAGAGATGTTGATTATTGATAGGGATAAGCCATTCCCCATATTGAACGATCCTTGGACAAATTACTACAATATACATTATTTTTAATCATATTAAATTTTACAGCTTTTTAAGAGGATTTCTGAAAGGTTTGACACATTTCTCCCAAATTTTACTCATGCTATAACTCTGTTGGCATAAGAGGCCCGCTTACTGTGATAACAATGCCTGAGGATCAGTTGGTATTAGGTCAGGGCTCTTGTGATGCAAGTATTTTAATGAAAATTGTGTTTGGATATATCAGTACAAATGAAAAAAAATGCCTGACAATTAATGCAAAGGTCACTTATTAATAATTAATTTCAAAATGAAAACCATCATCATAAACATTTTATTTCTTAATATTAATTGTTTATACTGTGATTGAAAGCTTGCATCTGTAACTTGCTATAGCATTTATAGTGTCCATCTTTTTTCACCCTTAGTCCCAGTTTGGAAGTTCAACAAACAGATGAGGATAAAATGGAGGTGGACCCACCACCAGAGGACACCACAGGCCAGAAAACGCCAGAGTCTGGCCCTGCAGCACATAAGTCTACCACTCCTAACCCACTGAAGGTAAGTCTGCTGTGAACCCTATATGTGAGGAACATCCATTTAGGTTTTAGCATTATGGCTGAATTTTCTAATAGCATTAAGACAAAAACTCTTATATTAATGCATTTATCTGGCTAAGGAAACACCTCGCTATATATAAATGAAATGTGATAGGCATGACAATGCATTGCCTCTTTGCTATAACATTACTGGGGTAGGGATGATAATCATATTGGAGATAATTTTGATTTTTTTATTGACACAAAAACTTTTTCGTTGCCTGCAGGGGGTAGATTTAACTTCTGCTGTGCCTCAAGATCAAAGAGAGGAGTTGGAGGTTGTTTTCAAGAATTTAGATACAGATAATGATGGGTGAGTACATGGAATTTTTGTGAATAGCCTTTGTGATTGCCATTGATTACCTTAAAATGATGTCAATTTCTCAGGATACTTTTTTAATTGTCTTAAAATTTTTTAACTAAATAGTTATATATAGCATAATTAAAGCTATTAGTTTCTGTTGTTGAAAATCATTTGATACATTGTTCATTAGTTTTCATTGTAATTTTTTTAAAATTTTCTTTCAATTCAGACACCTTAAATATAATGAAGTAACCAAAGTACTTCCACAGGGATTGTCCAATGCTCAACAAAGATACATAAAACAGGTACGTATGGCAGTTCTGTGCTAATTTTAAAATATAAGATATTGTAACTCAGAGCTCTGCGCCATGATAAAATGTTAGACCTTAAAACCTTTTATTGTTTATCCTTTGTCTTGATAATATGGTTCCACATATGTAGTTTGGATGTATTATATTCTGGTCATTTCCAGGTGTATGACATCACCAGTGCCAGTACCTTCTTTGGGGTTGATGAATTTGTGACGCTCTCTTGTTTGTGCCAAAAGATGGCAACACTTAGGTAAGGATACAGCATTTCGGGTTTCCAATAATAAGAGCTTTGTAGATAAATTTATATAAGATTTGTGGAAGATATAGATTTACTGGACAGAATAAATGCATAATAACTTGTAATAATAGGACGTTGGTATGTTAACATGTAATTAAACTTTGAAATAACTTTTCAGTGGTGCTGCACAAGATTCCTATGAGGGGCTTGATTTTGCTACACTACAGACGTCTGTCTTACAGTTTGTGGTAGGTACAGTTAGTGGCTATCTGGTAAATGTTTTTAATCTTGAACAAATAAAGCAAATCAATTTGCAGTTTTCCTTAAGTTTAAAAAAAAACTGAATAGTTATCTAATTTAAGGTGAAAATGATGCACACTATAGTTGTATGGCATCTGTGTGAAATCAAGCTACTTTAGTCTCCAGAGATGTAATTTACTTTGAGTTCAGTTTGAAAAAAAAACTGTTTGGGCATCATTAAAACCAGTTACTCAACAGTTTTTTCATGGGGAGAAATAAATCAAAGAAACAATTTTAAGTGTGTGTGCAATTATGTTAACTGAATATGACAATTTGACCCAGATGAAGTTAAACAAAATAAATTATATATCTGCCAAATTTTTGGACAGTTTAGTCATCTGAGTACAGATAAAATATATTTTAAAGAAGTACCGTGGCATTTTAAAGGCAAGTTTCTTTTCTTTCATATCATTGTGCATTGAGCAAAGCTATATTCCAGCAAATGTTAATGCTAGGAGTCAAATATATCTGGCTTTTAGTATTGGGAACATTTTCAATATCCTTCAGATATAAATTTGCTTTTATTTTACAGGAGTTGTTCCAGTCAGTAGACAGGAATGAAAAAGGCAAGGTCAGCATAGAGTCCTTGGAGGAGATCCTGGTGACACTCCTAGAAAAGAATAAAGTAGATAATGTGGAGCTTTTCCAAGAAATCAAGCAGGTTGTTGACCCAGTAAGTAGGGCAGAATTGATGAAAATGAGTGAAAAATAAATTCAACTTACACATAACTTATGTACCTACAAACATTTCATCTGTTTTTCTTTCTTTTTTTTTTTTTTACTGTACAATGTTGGCTAAGAAACTCATATTTTAACACTTATGGTTCATAAAAAAAGTAACAGAATTAGATGTTTTCATGGGTGCAACCACAATTGTCATCCCTTATTAATGCTTCATTGAACTTTATCTAGAAATTAAAGAGACGAACTTCCTTTTATTTTTTTCAGAATGACGAGGACTCCATTACAAAAATAGACTATATTGCATATATTCCTTACTTTTTGTCTTTAAAACAAAAGTCATGAAGTAAAGAATAGGGATCTGACTGGGAAAGAGTCATAGATGTGTGCAATATACCCATCATCCAAATGGAGACTTGAGATTGATTTGTGAAGTAGTGAAAGGAGGAGGATTGAAGCAGTTTTGTCAGCAGCATCTTGTTGCTCTTTGGAAAACCATCAGGATGCTTGTGTATTTATAGAAAAGTGGGTCATCAGATTTGCTTTAGAGACAAAAACTGGAAAACGGATGGTCTTGGAAGATATCGAACCACAATGTTATTGGAGTTGATCACATGCTGTGTCTGTTCACCAATGAAGGAGTTCCTTATGAAGACAAAAACCCGTTTACTTTTGGATTTGTTTTAGCAGTGATTAAATCCATTTTTAATCCAATGACTTTTCTTCATGTTCTAGACTTAAAAGTGGGAAACTGACATAATCTAATTTCAGTCATTTTCATTCACTGATTAAACAACTTACATATGTGAGGATTGACACCAACATGTAAGCACTCTTAAACTATGGGTTAACTGTAAAGGAATTTGAAAGAATTAGTTATTGAATTAAAATTAACTGAGACTTTCAATCAAAATGTAAATGAACCTTGTGATTTTAAGTCTTTATACTTCAAGTAAAGCTGATGTATAAAATAAAACCGTGTCCATAATTTTTTTGGTAAATTGCAAGTGTGTTGAAAGAACGTTTATTCCTTAACACATTTTATTGGTCATATGTAATTGGCCCAACTGTTAACTGGTCTTATGTAACCTTTAAAACATTTATTAAAGTAACAACTATTTAACATAAGACAGTCATGTGTTTATTTCAAATAATAAGGATACCTTACTGAAATGTCTGATTTTCTATTTACTGCATTTATTATGCATGGGGCTAAAAGTAAATGGCAAGAGATTTTAGAGTTTTAATATTGAAAATAACTTCTATCAATAATAAATTTGTTTATGCAAGAAACATTTAAGATATTGTATCACAAGTTCAGTTCCATGTGGATCAACACATTATGAAGAAAAACTGCACTATAAAACAATTCAGGCTAGGCCCCAGCCAAAAACTACAAAGTCTTAAGTCTAGCTTATATATTTAAAGATCCTCAACTGAAACTGATATTGCAGAAAATAGCGCACATAATTTGAAAATAACTTAACTAAGTAAGAGATATTAATCATTTGTACCTTGGCTATACATAAAAGTCACATTGCTCTGGTTGTCATACACCTAAAATCAGTGTTTAGTCATATATACTTGTCTTTAGGAAAAATTATTTGGATACACAGCATTCCACAAAACTTGTAACACAGGCATACCATAAAATACTAATTTATATGTTCTTGATCTACTGGGATTGGAAGAAGAAGAAACTACATTACATATATTCCCCCTGACAATAAAAAGGATTCAATTAACAATATGTTTGGGTACTTAATTGTTTCGAGAATCCTAGTAAAAACGTCATCGCTAATAAAAAATATAATGAGCACAACTACATAACAACCTTAAATACATAAACTTATCACATTCACTGCATCTACACCATGAAAATTAGAATCTGGGTAGGACCTGAAACCTAGGACACCTGCTCCTGCAAACCTCAACAGATTTTCTAAAACGAGGTCCAAAAGACAACTTCAACTGAAAAGAACTAAATTTGCATTTGTCTGACTATTTATGACTTCTAAAGTCAAATGATTAAACTACAATAATATTTCAGTCTCTTAACTTGGAACTACAGCAGCAAGATGGACTGTTGTCATATTACTCCAAAAATTAAAAACAAGGTGATCTCTGACCACTTGCCCAGGGTAAAAATTACAAAATTTATACAGTCAAAATATAAAATGGAGAATCCACTTCATGGACCCTTGATAAAATGAATACATCCCTCCATCCAACCTTCTCATTGGAATGTATGCCTTGGTTTAATAAAATGTAGGTTGTAAAGATGCCATTGCACTGTCCTGGTCCTAGACACTGATTTTAATGTTTAAATTCAGCATCAGAACATTAGTCAAAATCACAAAATAAGGAACACTTAAGTTGCAAAATAAGACACCATATGCTAAATTTCGTTTTTCTTCTTTTGTGCAATCTAAATGTCACATCGGTTTGTTCATAGAAGTATACATATATTGATGCACCTTGAAAGATCTACATTATAGTTGTTAAATACAGTCAACAACTATAATAAGTTAAACAACTATAATGTAGATCTTTCAAGGTGCATCAATATATATACTTCTATTTTTATCAAGATCTATACGGTGATTTTAACATGAATCCTCATTGGTTTGTTCACAAACAAAAAATGCAGAATCAATTCATCAGCTTACTAAATAATCCTGATACAACTCCCTTCTCTTGTGTAAGGAAGTGGTTAACTAGGCATTGATTTGCTTTTATTCCACCCAGAACATAATGTAATTTGCATCCGCCTCTTATCATACCATGAACATATTGTATGCATTTTATACTCCCTCTTTAAGTGTTTACATCAAATCAAAATAAGCCACCTCAGAGTAATGGAAGACCAAAAAAAAATATCCACGTCTACCTTTTCGAGGCCTATCATACCCTAGAATCCATAATGCAAGATAATGATTCTTATGTATAAGTTGTAATACTATTACGACAACATATAGGACCACTTGAACTGAGAATAACCTAGCCATGTAATTCAGCCTTCACACAGATAATGCTGTCTTTTTTTCTCTTTGTTTTGGCACTGTGTGAATACATCAAGACCCCACCACTTGGGTGGAAAGACATCCAATACTACCACCATGTAGATATTTTGCTGCATCATTTTTCCACCATGATCTTCCAGTGTCTCATATTCTACACTAAATTGGTTACAATATCCATTCAAATTTTACTGCCAAAAAATAAAGAACTTTCATTTAATCAACATACTCGAGTAGTTGCAAACAGTCAGTAGGCCTAAAAACAGCCCTACATGTACAAACCTAATAGAAACAAATTGACATTGTTGACCTGTAACTACACCCCTTGTGTCTCAGAGACTGGCTGGTAAGAGTGGTGCTGGCAAGAAAACACAGCCAAGGAGGGAATCTGATGCCTTCTACAACATTCCCTACAAAGAGAGCACTTCATTTGGTGTTGTAATTGCCTCCAAGCTGGCTTATGTCACTGCACGAGTGTGTGCCAAGTTAATATATATGTAACACTGGAGGGAATAAGACTTGTAGACCTGCTGCTTTGTAGATCATGGCAAGATGAGACAGTTGTCTTCGTTGTAGTTCATGGAACTCACACAATCTCCAGAATGTCTGAATCTCATTTGTTTTCAACAACGGTGTTGATAAGTGTTCTCACCCAAATTATTCATGAGCTGGTCAATGTAAAGCCAAACTGTTTGATGAATTTCTGGACTTAATTTGTTGTCATGTAACTGGTTTCTTCTTTGCTTGCTGCTGCTGCGCTTTCATCTGCTGATATGCTTTCTGAAGTCTACCTCTAACAATACTTAAATGGTCTTGTATATATTTCTCATTGGGTGCTAATTTGACTGTCTCTACGAGGCACTTCTCTGCTTTTAGTAAATCTCCCTGCTCAACATAAACCACACAGAGGTTGTGGTTAGCTTGCACATTGGTGGGGTCTGTTTCTAAAATCTTCTTGAAATTCTAGCAAAGAAAAAAGTTTGAAAGGTTATAAACTGCAATGCTACATAAATCAATTGGGGGAAAAACTTCATTTAAATTCAGACCCATTAACTGACACAGAATACAGAGATAAACAACTAATTCTTAGTGTTTTTTTTTAATGAGCTTCCATCAATTCTTTCTTATTTCTTTTAAAAAGCTACAAGCAGTGACAATATTCAGATCACTGTTCATAAAATAACACACATCTTGTACAATACATAAGATATACAGACCTCTTCTGCTCCTCTAATGTCTTTGAGATGATTGATGTTGATATCTCCCATTAAGATCAGACCTTTGGTATGGTCAGGGTAGTACTGAAAATAAAGAAAAAACATGAAAACAATGGCTAGGTTAATAGACAGACATTATTTTTAAAGTAGAAAACAATTGGACAGTATCTTCATTAGAAGATTGTTTCACAATTCAATGCCTAAAGTCATCACTTCTCATTATAGTTATAAAGGGATGAAGACATCATGAAGTGAGACCCAGCACAAGAAAAAACAAAATAATTTATTAAGTAGCAAAGAAAAAAAAAGAAAAAAGAAAAAAATTAACATACATTATGATGATATAAATAACAAAGCACACTTGAAACAGGGTCTTTTTTTTTTTTTGTTTCAAATGTTCAGACCACATATTGCATATTTTTCTTGAACACTACATGATGCTTCAAAACAAATGGCTAAGTCAAGTTTTGCTGTCACATTACATCAACAGATATGTCTGAAAGCTGTGGATAATGGCTAGGACACAAAGTGGGTACTCTGTAGTTACCGCTGTTTTGACACTAAATGTAGCACCAAAATGTATGATATTATATATTAAGAAAAAAATATGGTTTAAACATGTTACACAAGCAACTTAAAAAATTTGGGGCATGTGGTCATCACTAGTGTCACATTGTAAACAAAACAAAAAAAAAAAAAAAGACATGAAAATAATGAAATGTTGTAAGATATTACAAAACTTCTGTATTGTAAAATTTCAAAACTTCTGCTTTAAATTTGTCCTTTTTCTCCTGCTTGATTCAAACATTAACAGAAAAAAAAACATTCAACTTTGAACTTTGCAATTATTTTTTAGAATTTTATTTACATGATGCATCCATGATCTTTTTTTCCCCACCTTAAAATATGAGGGAAATTTGATTACTAACCTGGAGAAGTTTCTTCAAATATGGCACTGCATCTAAAGGCCTCTTCACATCATTCGCCAGGAGTAGGGCAAGGTTGAACAAGGCACCACGAAAATTGTCTTGGAGCTGGAAAAAAAAAAGAGCACAACTGTTTATGCCATAAATATTCCAACCATTACAATTTCTTAAACTATGTTTTGAAACAGAAGTCCACTCAGTATTTTTGCTAAACATTATTGTCATTTTTTGTCCCAAACTGGGCTCAAGTTGCAGCAAAACTTACAAAGACTGACAGAAATGTGGGGACATAAGCAGCGGATCAAGTTATCTCCCTTCTTTCAAACCATTAGCTTTCCCATGTTAATTTGGTAAAATATACAAGTTTATCTATCTTGCAGTTATTTTAGGATTTTGGCTTTGAATCAAAAGGATTATCCAGATCTTTTTAGGATCACAATTATTACATCTATTGATACAAATTGTGAAGATAAACGTTTGCTACCTTTTATTTTTATTGTTGGCAAACAAATGTCACCTAATATTAGCATAACTTTATCTACAGTAAACATTCAATCAATTCACATACTCATTCAATCAAACTCAGTTTTGGCCTAATTAAGGCATTTCTTTAAGTTAAAACCTCACTTAAGTATCATCATTGTGAAATATTATCAAAAAGTTTTTTTCGGGTTAAGAATGGTACCTGCTGGATATGCATAACTGCAGACTAAGGTATGGCATTATTGTCCCAATAATCTAATTACTGAGTTTACATTCTATACCAAAAAGTTCCGATGCACTCAGCAGATTTTATCAAGACACTGTAATGTACTCTGTGCACTGTCACAGCTACTTTATGCTGGCAGAAATGCTTCTTTTTTATACACAACCACAGCACCATCTGCTTCCCATGGTTTTTAACTACTTGTAAGGGCCATCACTCCTCAAAAAAACCTTGAAAGAAAACTCCAGTTGTTTGGTCAAGTCTATTCAATAAGGAGCACATATCAGTAACATCACAAAAACAGGGATAAGAGCATGTGATTGTTGCTGCCCCATAGGAGGTGAAAACCAGACAAGTGCTGCATGATAATTGGATGGGAGAGGAAAGCAGCTTTTGGGGCGTGTAGAATAGCATTTTAGAAAGTCCCCAGATAATTCAGTAAAGAATCAAAAGAAAAAGCATATCAAATTCCCTTATTTACAATCTTAACTTTTTGTAACAATTACGTCATTTTAATTTTTTTTCTAGACACACAAAGTAACAAATTAAATGAAAATTAGATGGTGAGCAAGGTTCCCCCTGTAAAGTTGTCTTGGTTTTCAAACAGACATGATGTCACAGACTTTCCACCAATCATCTTCAGCAACGGGAAGACTGGTATAACCAACTATTTTGCCTTGAAAGGAAATTAAGTAATAAATGAAAGACTATAAATTGCCTGAGGATTATTTTTCTTATTTCCCAAAGTGGAGGTGCAGTCAAAATAACCTGCACATGTAGCAACAGTTTGAGTTTGCAAGGCGAGGTGTTAGCATGATGTCTCCAGGTTTTCCAGTGTCATTCCAAGGTGTGCTCATTTGTTTGAGCATCTGTTCCATATGCCGATCTCAACCCACCGTCAACTCACCTGCATTCTTGGAGACATGCTCACAAACTTGTCCTTTTCAAGACGAAATTGATCAATCTTTCCAGGCATTCAACACCAGGCTTCAGAAAAATGAAAATTTGTTCCAGAGAAAGGGAGAGGAAATTCAAGATGACATAATAAGTCTCAAGGGAAATTTTACCAATGCAGCAAAAAATTGGCATAATGAAAAACAGCAAACAGAAACACAAATAGCAGCAATTGAGAAAAATCTGGCAAACTTGAGTGCTATCGTTGAACTTCACAGTGAATCTATGGAACACATGCAGCATATGGAAGGTGATATAATGAAAAACGTAACAATCAGTGTGGCAAATATCGACCATATGAATGGCACTGTGGGACAGTTACTAAGAGCGATGCACTCAAGTGAGCACAACTATCACCAACACAATGTATCACTGAGCAAAATATTCCAGGCACTACGAGGAGCTGAAAGTGATCTCCAAGCACTGTCCCATGGCCTTAGAGATGTGAGCCAAGAGCAATTAAGTCTAGAGAACAAGGCTCAGATTATCAACACAACTTGTTCTGCAGAGCTAGGGGTATTAGATGTGGGGTTAACTGAGGTGAACCATTCCCTGATCACAATACAAGAACGCTTGCAAGCGACAATTAACACTTTAGAGAATATCAGTTCTAACTGGACTCTTCTAAAACAACAAATTGAGCAACTGGAGGACACGCTGAACCAGCAAAAGCAAGAGAATCTCAATATGGCCCATGAACTTTCCACTGCGAAAGTTCACCAAATTACATTGCAAGCTACTACGGCAAAACTCAAAAACAGCTCTGACCATCAAAATTCCACATTACAGCTGATCAAAGAAAAAGTGTCCTCTCTACAAAGAAATATTGTCAATATCTCGATTAAACAAAAGGAAAGCTACGACAACCTGTGGGGGTCACTGAATAATTCACTTTTGAATTTAAATACTTCCTTTCAAGACACCAATGCTAATTTACAGAAAGCTGAAGACATCATTGCTGAACATTCAGCAATCCTTAACACTACCAAATCTGAGCAAGCTAGATTATCCTCAATTGTCATTCGACAGCAAGACAATCTTCTACAGATGCAACTTATGTCCAGTGAAATCCAATCAAACATGAGCCTCCTTCAGCAAACTCATCATGAAGAGAACACACAAATACAATCAGATTTACTCACTGTGAACAGAAAAATTGACAAACTTTTCACAATGAACAATGATACAAGGAACCACACTGAAACTATCAACCAGACAGTAGCTGGCAATGTACAAGAGCCAGGAAACCAGCAGCTGAGCTCAGAGTTAGAGGAGGTCCGTAGTGTCACTTGTCTCCTGACACTGCTGATTTCTGAAGGGGCGACACTGACACCCTATCAAAGTGTGCTCGGCTACTTGAAGACTATAGCCAATGACTCCAACTGTAACCCTTTCTTGTGCAACTTTGGAAATACAAACTTAGACTTGAAACTTCAGTTAAAGTTTTGTGGATTTCCAACGAGGTAAGAAGTACACACAAAAAATTTGTTTTGTTAAATAATATACTTTATAACACAACTATATAACATTCTTCTTAAACACAGTCACTTCTGATATTCAGACTTATAGACATAATTCCAAAAGAATAGACCAAACTTTTTGCCATGTACTTACTACCCTAAAACCTAGAAATATCATTTTCTCCAGCCACTGTTATTTTTTGGCAACAAAGATAATGATATCTCAACAAGCGAAGCTGTGAGCAAACAGCAGAAAATACCACTTGGTGTCTAATTTTACAGTTTCTGTGAAAACTACCTATTAGCACTCTGCAGCAAGGCTACCCACTGCAGGCAATACAAGGCTACAAGTTACTCATTAGAAACAAGAACAACTGCCGTCCACTTATCTTATGAACAGAGAAATGCTACAAAATTTATTGAAATTCAAATTGAAATAGCAATAAAATATCTTAACTTTAATTCTTTTATTTAAAAAAATGATTCACAATTAATTTGTTTTCTATTTGAAATTCACATTTCTCATTAGTGTTTATTTTAATCTGTTAATTTGCTTTTTAAGTTGCTCCATTGACTTTCAGGTAGGCCCAGTGACAAAGTGTTTTGGTTCATTGAGGTTTCCTTTCACTTCTTACAATATTACTGACTTTAACCACCTGGCCAAAAACCTAGTTGGTGCCAACTGAAAAAGGAAATGGCCTGTCACAGTCAATGAAATAAGAGATACCTGTTTTTTTTTAATTCTATAAATCAAATGCCTGTAGTTCAGCCGAACACCCAAAATCATAAGTCCAGTCAAATTGACAAGTCAAAAAATACCTAATTCAACAAACAATTCAGGTTTGATACCATATAATTTTTGTAGCATTGTCCAGACAAACATTAAACCTAAATGAAGCTATAAATTTGATCTACAGGTCCTATTCTGTTCTCTACTCTTCTTTTTGTCCACCAGGTGTCAGCCCACGGCCCTTGGAATGCAAAACGGAGCTATCCCAGATGAGAATCTAATTGGCAGCAGCGTTTTCAGTAATTTTTTTGTTCCTAAAAATGGCCGGCTGAACAATACATATGGCTGGTACACGGAAAAACTGTCCCTAGCAGGCTGGACACAGGGGTCACAGTGGTTTCAGGTCATCTTAGGTGACCTCTACTTGGTCAGTGCTGTGGCCACACAGGTCAGTCAGGTCTCAGCAGAACAGCAGTTAAATAATTGAAAGTATCCTATTGGGGATTTTTCTGAAGAAAAAAGCATTTTTTTTCTTTCTTACAAATCACTGTTTGGCCCATCTCTACACTTGGATTCAATGTTTAATGCCATTTCTAATCAAATAGTTATGTTCAAATGTCTGGTCAGACATTTAGACTGCCAGGTCCTTTTGTATTTCTCAGTAGGAAAAACCAACAACATGTACAATTATTTGAAGGGTTTATCATTTTTTTAGGTCTAAATTGGGAAAGATAAGTAGTTTTGGTGAAAATGTAAGCATAAGAAAATATAACTTTGAACATTTTCAAATGGAGATAGTATACCTTTAAATATAATTGACTTAAAATTTTGGATTCTTTTCTTGATCATATATCTTACTTCCTTGATATTTAAAATATCTGTCAAGAACTCATAACAATTAACAAATGCCCTTGTTTAGTGCCTTACCTTTTTTTTTTGGGGGGGGGGGGTAAAACTATCAGAAAATAAAGAATTTTATCTTTACAGGAATATTGAAATTTCACTGGACAAGACAAGAAAGTAAAATCCTCTATTTTAAACCCAATTTTCCTTGCAAACTTACTTAATTTCTCAATTGTTTTTAACTATTACTCTCCAGGGAGGGCCATATGGATCCTGGGTAACAGAGTACACATTAGACTACTCTCTGGATGGCTATCAGTGGACCACTTATGCCCCTGGTGGGATCATAAGAGTAAGTGTATTCCTGACAAGTAACCATGCATAAATCACAACTTTGGTTTTCTTCCTCAAGGACAACAGATTTTTTTACTAAATATTCACAAATATGTCTCTGGTTAAATTCACAGTTATTTTCTGTACTGTGATTCTGTAATGAAAATCTCAAGGATGATTACATGGCTGGCAATTATTTGCATAACTACTCAGGCACTGCCACTTAACAAGTCCCTGCCAAGTCCCCCTGACAGCAATCAAGACAGTTAATTGTTCTTCTGTGACAACAAAAACAGCCCCTGATGAACAACTCGT